TTCTAGTCTGGACCGTCGAACTTTCAAATCCCTATGCAAGACTTCAAACCAACTTTTTAAACACCAAAAACGAACTGGTTTTTAGTGATGGAAAGATCAAAATGCTGAAGTAAACAAAACCTTATCAAAACGGCACCAAAATAGGCCAAACAAGGCCTATGAGGGTGAGTTTGCAATCTAACCACAAAGTGACCTTAATGAAAGTTTTAAAGCATGAAAATTTAAGCCTTTTTCATGTTATACACAAGAGCTAAAACAGTAAACAAAATAGGTAGAAAACCAATGCAAGTTTGGGGAATAAAAGGGAAGATGCTCACCCTTGAAGAACCCTTGAAGAACAAGTGGTCTAGCCTTCTTCTTTGGATCAAAACCAGTCCAAAACTCAAGAAACAACTCCCCCAAGTCCCTCAATCTCGGACTAAGGTGTAATGGTGTGTGTAATGGTGCAAAAGTAAGGTAAAACACACCTTTAGGCCAAAGAAACACACACAAAGGAGGGGGAAGAGGGAGATATAGAGATAGAGTATATCTATATCTCTAAGGGCTGGTTTTTGCTTCAAGGTTCTAACCTAGAACCAAGAGGAAAGACCCCCTCTTATAAGGATCCCTCTTGCAAAGCTTATACAACAAGCTTGGCTAGAGGGAAATCCCTCCATACACGTGTATGGAGGGGGAAGGGGTTGGTGCCAGCTATCACAGCTGGCACAAAATATCTCCATAAAGTGGATGAACAGTGGTCGGCTGCCCAAAAATGCTATTTCGGCAAAAAACAGTGCCGACCGGCAACTAATTATGCCGACCGGCAATAAAGTGTGCCGACCGGCAAACAAAAGTGCCGATGGAAGAAAGAGGCCAGCCGGTGGCCTTCAGCCACTGCCGGTGGTGTGTGGGGCTGGTCAACAAGCCCTATCCCGTCCTCCCAGGGCAAAACACAAGTGTTCGGTGCAAAACCGGACATTACACGATCAAGTTCGGAGATCCTGAGGTAGGGCACGAGAGCCGGGACCTCCGGGAACTCCAAACGAACACAAACATGGATAATCACCGAGTGTTCAAACGGTGACGTCCAAGTCTTGAGGACGGTCAAAAATGGGGTGTCTACACCATGGTAGCAAGGGTAACACCAAAACAATCAAGTTTTAGCATAATACATGTGTTCCCAATCAGTCGAAGGTATGTGTTTACATAATTCAAATAGTCTGCGTTGACAGTCTATATAAGGTCTCTAAAATAAGTCAAGTATGCAAAACAGATTCAAGTTCTTGGTCTATTAATTCCCTTAGCAAACATAATCTAATCATTCATTCATAAACAATTCATAGTCTCTTGTAATATGGCCCGAAGGCAGGGGGCGAAATGCAAGACAATGCACAGAGCCGAGCATAACTTATGATCATGTAAAGAAAGCTGTAATGAAGCAAACATGCGACAATTTTAAGCTAACATACCAAACTACACTACAATGCAGCAAGGATGTAAGAGAATTATGGAATTCTCAATACTTCTCACTCGTAAGAGAATTATGCAATTCTCAATACGTCTCACTCGGGAGATACAATAGCTGTGCAGCTCGTCTGGTTGCACCAACCTCAAATGAACCGTACATACAATATTGTGCCTGAAAAGAAAACAAACTTAACAGGTACAATATTGTTAGAAATATGCATAGTAGCATACTTGAAATGCGTGACAGCGCAAGGCAAGTGGGGAGCATAACAATGCTATGGAAAGACAATCAGGTAAGTGGAGTAAACGGTCTACGCCGGCAACAAAATTGATCATGAACATGCGGTCTACGCAGGTGATGATATTTAGCAAATATGTGGTCTACGCAGTTGAAATATGCGGTCTACGCAGGTGAACTGAACTATGAGTATTGTAGACAGACGCAAGAACAAGTATTGGGTGGAATGACACAAGTGGGGAGATGACCCGCTGGAGAGAGGACTACGATCCTAATGCCGGATGCAAAAATTACACTACAATGTAATATGAATGAATATGGCACGCAGGCCAAACCAAATCTTGCCTAGGAACGGAATGCATACATACAAGCCATGTGTAAC